GGGATGACATGTCTAACACAATCGCGGCTCCCACTCAGGTTTTCCCTAGATGTGCTTTTTCCTCAAATATGAGTTTTTGCCACTGGGTTTTTGCCTGGCCCCAGATCATCGGGTGGACTGGTAATCCTAGACCCGGGTCCTTGGACGGGGGATAGGTATTATTCCCACTTTGACTATATGCGCCCACTTGCGTGGACGAAGGAGGAAAACAACTGTTGGGAATAATATACTTTGCCCATATTTACCTAGGGTTTATGATACAGATTGTATCTGGTAGCTGGTTAGTCTGTTTAAAGTTGGTTAACATGTCAGCTATTTGCAATAATTATTGTTATGGTTCTGGTCCTTGCTCTACTTGTTTATGCTATTTTTAAAACTATTGTATTCTGCATTTACAAACATACACGCAACACTGTTCCTGCAAAATCCCCAGCTTGATATGATGAATATCTCCAAATGTATACACATAACCGACGCAATGGTAAACATGCTGATACATATCTATAAGTCTATGGTACTGGTCTAATGCCGAGTCTTATGCTATGGAAATAGTGGCCGAAGACATAATGAAAGACCTGCAGGATTGGCTAGCAATCCTGAATATACCATGGCAGATGGCTAGTTGTCTGACCAGGACTCCTTAAATAGGGTATGAGCAAGATATTGCTCAAAGAGGGGAAAATGAAGCAATTGAAACAGTTAATCTGTTAGTAGTGTATAAGGTGAATTATTTTGTAAATGTAGTAGCAAGCTCTTTTTAGAACTGCTTGCTAAACATAACTGAAAGGAAGTCACAAACTATGACAGTTTCTATGTATCAGGAGATGCTTAACCACAATGCACATGTGTTAGTTTGTAAGATTAGATTATTGAATGAAACAGCAGAAACTACTCCCTCTTTTATGTATCTTGTGTAACTTTCTGTAACCAATGTTCATGACAAATATTGTATAAGTACAGAGCATTTTGAATACATTGTCAGAAGACTTTTGGAAAGCAATCTTGTGTCCGTCTTGTTATTCTGCTTCCATAATTCTTCCCTGAGCTCAGGTGACAATCGAGGGTTGGAGAACCGTGACCAGAAGGGATCGAGTCATCAGTTTAGCCTTTCAGGAACCTGGTGTTATAAATGTCTACTCAAAGAGAATTGCAGGGAATCGAGAGAATTCAAAACTTTAGGCCGAAATAGGGCAGATGAATGGGAGAATTTTTCCAACTCTGCTACTTTGGCCTTAAGTTTAAAATTAACATCTCAATTCCCTGTAATTCTGTCTTTATTGAGTTGACCCTGTAATCTGCATTATAAGTAGATTATGTGGGTTGGACATAGTGGGCAGAGCTTTGCGACAGTGGCAAATTTTCAAGGTAGTAATTGATAGCTGTGCTGCAAAGTGTCCCTTTTTTCAAATGTTGGCAACTAGGCTAGTACCTGTCGTGGGTTGCAGTCGGAAGACCGGGATCCCTGATAATGGTAGGAGTCACAGTGTGGAAATGAACTATCAGGGTCTAGTGCAGGGTAACCACACGCCCCCTGGTGTTTAGCACCAGTGTTTGTGCGGCCACATACCAGGGCCCTAATGCAGCTTCTGCTGATTTTAGGAGCTAGATATATTGCAGATATGTATCCAGTACTAGAAACAAGGCAAGACTAGAACAGGCACCAAACAAGATAACAAGACAAGACTAGAAGAACCCTGAACTGGATTAGGACAGAAAGCAGATTTATGAGGGAAACAAGAACAGGACAGGACTGTACATGAACTGGGAATACAAGACAAATTAAAACAAGACAAGATATACAAGGCAAAACAAGTGGAGAAAAAACCCAAGTACTATATATGTAATAAACATTGGAGATTTAGACATACATAAATGGCCAAGATGTATGGAGCCCACCACTGCGCCAAAGTACTCAAATTACAGTGGGTCCTAACTGCCTATATATGCATGACTAAAAGTACAACAATAAAACACACACAGTACTTACCTGCAAGGAAACGAGCAGAGGAATGAGACCACTGCTAGCAGGGAACACTGAAACAAAAAGGATAAATGGCAAAGGAACGGGTGTGACAACAAAAAACAAACATATAAAGGAATCCAGGAGACTGGGCATTCCAGGAACAGAATAAAGGAATGAACCCAGAAAACCAGACATAGAATAGAAAACCAGAAAAACTAAACAAGAATTGTAAAAAAAAGTCCATAACCCCCCCCCACATTCCTCCCCCTTAAATCTTTCCTCTTCCTTTCACTTTTACTTAAGGTAATGGATTGGAGGAATGAGGACCAGCCATCATATTAACTTTAATTCTCTCTCGCCTCATACCAGTACCTGGGTAGAGCGGATGAGGGGTCTTTTGTTGAAATAAGGGTGGTACTCACTCTGGGGTCCAGGCACATTGTCTGGAAGAATCTACTTGGGTCCCCCGTTGGTAGTAAAGCTCTGTTTTGGTCATTTATGAAACGTGAGTAATTTAAAGGGATGACCCCAGGCAAAAGAAATGTGGTTAAGTCACAAATGTTCTATAATTGGCTTCCATTGCAGTCTCTTTAAGAGAGTGGTTGGGGATAGATATTGAAATATCTGGAGTGCCTTCTTTTTATAGGTGACCTCCATCCCTCTGCATTTACGCACAGTAGCGCCCTTAGTACTATGATAGTGGAATCTTACTATTATATCTCTAGGGCGTTTATCATTCCTGCGTGGAGCACCTGCTGAGCTATGCACCCTATCGATTTCCCACCTGGGTTCAGGAATGTCTCATGATAAGGGTCTGAAAATCTCAAACCATATTCTGCACAGGTCCCTCATCCCTTGTTTCGGGTATCCCTCTGATTTTAATGTTATTGCGTTGGGACTGATTAATAAGGCCCTCAAACGCCACTTCCAGGGCATCTGGCCTTGTGCCCCATTCGGAGCTCTGTAGTAAAAGCATTAGGTGCTTTAGCCACTGCTTCTTCCTCACCTCTAGAGTTGCAGTCCGATTTCCAATTGCCTGAATCTCCATCCTTATCTCCCTGGAATTTCTCTTTATTTTCTGAGCGAGGAACATTCTATCCTCCTTCATTTGTGCTAAAATAAATTATATATTCCATCGACCCCTGGTGCCTCAGTTATGGATGTAACAGCTAAAGGGCTTTTACTTGAGCCACCTTCTTCCAGGTCTATGCGGTTATCACGGCTGTCCTGGCTTTCTGGTGCCTCCATACCGCTTTTCGCCCTATTTGCGACCGCTTGCTTTGTGGCATTTGCGGCATCTTCGTTTAAGTCCACAGATCTCACCGCTGGCTGGAACATGGTGTTGAGTGTGCTGCCCCTAGGCTTCAGCTTGGATCCCTTCCGGGAAGATTTCATCGGTGGTCAGTTAATGTGTTGGGTTAATGCTCAGGGAGATGCTGTTGACTAGGTGGCTGTGAACAGTAATAAGGAGGAAGGAGGAAAAGCAGGGTAGAGGCTGGCTATATGGCTATTTGGTTATAACCTCCCCCTCGCCCCCCAAAAAAAATATATAGTATAAGATGAAAATAGAGAGGAGGAGGAGGGCTTCTCAGGCATAGATTTAGGTGAGAAGTATAATTATATATTTTCTTTCTCAGTATCGGTTTGATGCTTTGGAGACATCAGTGTATGATGTCATGGTATGTACCATTCTTTTAGGTCTGTTAGATATATGCACTTATTGTGCAAAAACCTTAGCTTTGATACTGGATGAATTATTATGGTCGATAAGATAGTTTCCCTGAATGTAAAAGGCCTCAACTCACCCGCAAAAAGAAAGCTGATGTTTAAAGAATTAAAAAGAATGCAGGCTGATATGTTGATATGTTAATTTTTACCCCCCTCTCCACCCCAAAAAAAGTTAGCCTGATCAAAGAGCCCCCTGATCACAGTGGTCACTGATTAGGTACTGTACAAGTGAGATACTAAACAGAATAGTGATCATGGCAGCAGGGAAGGCGTTAAGGAGATTTTAGATTGCTGTGGCTGACAAAAAGGCTAACATTAAGATTAGTACTAAAAGGCTCTAATCAGGCTGATCACACTGTGAATAGTGATGCACCGAACGGTTCGCCGGCGAACAGTTCCCGGCGTACATGGCGTGTTCGCGTCCGCCGCGGACGGCGAACACATGCGCGGTTCGATACGGCCCCTATTCGTCATCATTGAGTAAACTTTGACCCTGTACCTCACAGTCAGCAGACACATTCCAGCCAATTAGCAGCACACCCTCCCACCTACTGGACAGCATCCATTTTAGATTCATTCTCAAGCTGCATGCTTAGTGAGAGGAGGGAAAGTGTAGCTGCTGTTGATTAGATAGGGAAATGCATAGCTAGGTTAGGGTATACAGTGTCCACTGCAGTCCTGAAGGACTCATCTGATCTCTGCTGTAAGGACAGCACCCCAAAAAGCCCTTTTTAGGGCTAGAACATCAGTCTGCTTTTTTTTTTTTTTTCTGTGTAATGTAATTGCAGTTAATTGTCTGCCACTGCTGCCAGCTTCTGTGTCAGGCTCACAGTGGATACTGTGCCCATTTGCCCAGTCAGTGCCACCACTCACTCGTGTCACAGTAGCTTGCATTTGAAAACAAAAAACGTTTTTCACTGTTATAGATTGAATAGCAGTCAGTGTCCTTAAAGCGGGTGTGTCAGGCTCACAGTGGATACTGTGCCCAGTGCCATCACTCACTCACTGGTGTCACAATAGCTTGCATTTAAAAACAAAAAACTTTTCACTGTAATAGATTGAATAGCAGTTGTCTGCAAGCGTCTGGGTGTCAGGCCTCCTTCAGAGTGCTGCAGACCTCTGCCCGTGTACTTTGCCACTCATATCTGGTGTCTCTATAGCGTGCTTTTACAAAGAAAAGTTTTTCAGTGTAAGCTAATAGCAGTCAGTGTCCTTAAAGCGGGTGTCAGGCCTTCAGCGTGTGCACTGCAGACCTCTGCCAGTGTACTTTGCCACTCTTATCTGGTGTCACAATAGCGTGCATTTAAAACCAAAAAACTTTTTTCACTGTTATAGATTGAATAGCAGTTAGTGGTCTCAAAGCGGGTGTGTCAGGCTCACAGTGGATACTGTGCCCAGTGCCACCACTCACTCACTGGTGTCACAATAGCTTGCATTTAAAAACAAAAAACGTTTTTCACTGTTATAGATTGAATATAAAAGTGGCCTCTTTGAGAGAAATATTTCCCACAATCAGAACAAAAATAAGGTTTCTCTCCTGTATGGCTCCTCAAATTATGCTTAAGATTAGAAGCGGCTGAAAAGCATTTCTCACACTCAGAACAAAAATTTTTTTTTTTAACATTCTCTCCACTTTGAACGAAATGACGTTTGGGAGATTTTGTATGAGTAGGT